ACCCTCCTGCCATCCCTCATTTTCCCTCTGGGCTACGACTTCACACAAAGAGCCCTGACATCACTGACACATCAGCAAAATGTAATCCCACATCAGCAAAACTCAAACAGCAGAGGATGTTTACATACTCTGAAAGAACATAGCGAAAGAACTATGTATTCTGACATATAGTCAGAAATGTATTTGAGGATTGTATGTTTAATTTGCCCATTTTCATAGAGAATGAGCCATTACAGATGTTTGGATGAAAAAGAAACTATGTTAAAACCCCCAGTTTAATTAAAAGAAAGAGAAAGGGGAGTAGGAGTATTTTAGTCCATCAGTTTTGGATAAAAATAATTCATCCCTTCAAAATTTTTGAAACAGTGATGTGTTCATGTATCTCCTGTGCCTTTATACTTTGTTTGCAAGCTGACTTTATGCAGTGCCTTAAAATGGGATATTTAAGTGCATGAAATATGAAACTGCCAGATGGAAACTCCAGAAGAGACCCAGCAGGTCTGGCAGCCTTTTTCATACTCTCGCAAGACTAGACCGAGGAGAAGAGGCTCATGTAGCTGATTGATAGAGTCAATGGAATGATTGAGGCAGTACATGGAGAGTCTTGTGGTGTAGAACTTTTACCATGGATATCTGGATACGTGTATTTCTTCTCTGACTGTTTTAGCAATCCCTAAATGCAGAGCAGGATCTCAGTCAGGGCTCTGTTCTAATCTCTCTGTATGTTTGCTTCAGTAAATACATGAAGTGAAGTTTGTGTCAAGCACAACCTTGACTTTTCAAACCACTTCTGAATTAGTAGATTGTGGTTTAACTTCAGTGCTTACTTTATCAAACAGAAGTATGATAAATGCAATTTTAAACGAGTTCATAACCTCCAAGCTTTTTAATTGATAGCCTTGGAGCCAGAAGATCTAGAGTCCAAAAATACATGCAGTGTAGTAATTTTTCTGTATAAATTCTAAGTTTTGTCCCCAAAGAGGATTTTAATCCAATACTGTTTGAGAACTATGGTTCTATGGGCAGACTCACATCAGTCTAGACTGCATTTGTCTTCAACATCTACAAGACAGGTTACTTCAATGCTGAAGACTACATAAAAAGTAATTACCTAGTTTCTAAGTGAAGAAAAGTTGCAGTTCTAGCAACCTAAATGAAGTTTGGCCGCAGACTAAAGAGTCACCTCTCTGGAGAAGAGACCTTTGGGCAGGTAACCAAAGTGCAGCCTCCTGGTACCCATGAGGAGGTCATCAGAAGGACAGAGCGAGGTGGGACAGTAGGAAGCAGCTGGTGTAAGCTGAAACAAGAGAGGTTCAGAATGGGTAAGAGGAAAATTTTTTTTGCCATGAAGACAGTTAAGCTGTGGAACAGGTTGCCCAGAGAGGTTACACAGTCTCCAGACCTCATACATGCTCCAGTTTTGAGCAGGGAGTCGATGACCTTCTGAGGTAGGTAACCTTCTGAGATTGGTCCACCTGCAATTTCCTTTGATCCTATTCATTTGAAATCCAGTTTATTTTAATTTGTTGGAAGCCTGAAACCAACTAAATAATGAATGGAACAAGAGCTTTGTATCAGTCCTGTATAGTCTGGTTTTCTCCTTTAAATCCTGACAAAGATTGTTCGCTAACAGTTTGTGTTAATTTTTTGTCCTGGAACAGCAGTACACTCCTAACTTTGGCAACTCTTCTGCTGGAATAGCTGAGGAGGAGGCGAGGGGAGAAGTGGAAGCATATTCCAAGCCAGGCTTAATTTCCTTCATTTTTCTAATGGAAGCGTATGTCCTGAAGGTATCTCATGACTTGGGAATTCCTGGAGTTAATGGTTAACGTGATCTATAAAGCCTATTTTACTGCAGCATGTGTTTCACTTGGAATTCCCAATTTAACTTAAGAAGTGCAGTTGGTCTTGTGTTGCTTGGTTTGGAGGTTAGTTTGAAAGCTCTTCAAGTCAAGCATCTGTGCTCTGGGAACAATGGCTGTACGTTTTCTGGATGACAGCTTTTAAGCCACAGTAATTTTTCAATAATGAATTTTGTTCTCTGGCATCTTTAAAGCAAAATTATTGCACTTACACCTACTTGTTGTGAATTCCCACTTTGATCTTCAGTTCATCATAATGACAGAATTCATTACGTGGTCAGCTCGAAGAATTACTTTTCAAGTAATCTTTTTTCCTCTTTTAACAAGCAGTGCTTTGTGGGGTGCAAAACAATACCTGTGCTTTTTCTTTTTTTTCTTTTTTTTTTTACTACACTTGCTGACAAATAACTGCTGCGACTTCTGGGAGTAATGATGGCAGCCTGGAGTAAGCTTTTTGGGGATTTATTTTATTGGAAACTTTGGTTATATTTTGCCATTAATTATAAGTATTACTTACAATTTCATAATATACAGGAATATGCCTATGAAACAATTCTGGGTTTTCTAATTGTTATGATATATTGATGCATTTAACTGAAAGTGGTGGTTTTAATTCTTTAGAATCATTTATTTGAGACTTGATTTAAAGCCTAGGGGCGTCTTGGAGAGGTTTGCAACTGTTCTCAGTGGGCTCTTAGGCCTGTATAGCTCAGAAGAACGGTGGCTGGCTGTTCCTCCAATTCTTCTCATGCCAAGGATTTTTGAACTGGTTTATTACTAATGAAGTGTCAAGACATAAAAGGTCATTGTTCTCTTTCGGAAAATATTGTAAAATGTGAAATATTGCATCTGTTTTTAATATTTTATGGTAGGATTGAAGCTATTCTCCCTTCCAGATTGTGGCCATGTTTCAAACTTAGTGTTCAAGATACAAGTAAGAGCAAGTTCTGCGTGGCTGTGTCCCATTTCTTCATTGGTTTGTAGAATTTTAAAAGATCTGTAACGTGTCTCTGGTCTTTTCCTCGTGCACCAGGATGATTTGACCCCCCACTGTTAACCTTTGTGATGAAGAATTACAGTACCACAAAGATACCAAAAAGCACTGAAAATATTGGACAATCAACTGTTATATAAAACTTATTCCACTTTTTTGGAGTCAGTTTTCTGAGCCTGGCCAAGCTTCCCTTCACTGTGCTTCCCATGGATATGCAGAGTGCCCCATCATAGCTGTTGCTCAGGATACGTGTGTATCTCGAAGATGAAACAAAGAATCCTGTTGGAAACTTGATTTAATTGGAGTGTAGGAGAGCAGGGAGAGTAGAGGTGGGATTGTGAATGAGAGGCTGCCCTTGAGAGCTGATGCCGTTTGAAAATAATGAAACTGAGATTTTTAGGAAGATAGGATGCTTGTTAACAAGCCTGATGTATGCAAAGGAACTCTTCTTGCAGTCTGGCTCTGACTCACAGCAATTGATGAACAGCCGCAGTCAGAAGATGGTATCATAGAAGAATATATATTTTTTTTCCCCTGTACTTATAAAAGAGATTAATTTCGAATTCAAATTCACTGGTTCTAGGTTATGGTTATCTTTACTTTGATATTAAATGGACTAAAAGTTGAGGAAAAATCTTATAAAATGCAAATCTGAAGTTGAAAAGAGCTGTTTTAAAATACTGTTGCTGTTTTATAACAATGCCTATAAACTGGGAACTTCTTGGTGTTACATTTTTTTATGTTGAGTTCTGTTGCAAAGAATTTGGAGAGACAGGCAGGGATATTGTAAAGCTAATGCTTGTTGTCTTCTGCCAAGAGTGTGTTCCTTTCCCAGCGTAGGGAACTGAGCGATCCACGTTCATTCTTCAATCACAATCTGATGTTATTGGCTTTAAATAAGTATAAAAAAACCCTTTGGCTAGTAATTGCTACCAGTCAATAACAATCCTGTCTCAATCCATCTCCAGAGATGTTGGTAGTTTCAGGGATCTTGTATTTAATGTGAGTTTTCTAGTCAGAAGGGAGAGCTGCAGCGTTGTGCTGAGCAGCTGGATCTCGATGCAGGAGAAGGTGGACCTGTGAGACACCGGAGGTGTTCTGGGATCACCAGTCCCCCCAGATTTCACTTGATTCTTTCACATCCGTGAAAAAAGGGTCAAGAAAAAAAACCACCTCACTTACAAGATTGCTGGGACTGATATATTAATCCCTTCCCAATTTATTTCAAATTTATTAATAAAATGTGCTGAAGTAAAGTAAGAACTATTTTATTTTGGTCTGTAATGCTAATAATAACATTCCCTTTTCCTGCAGGGCTACTATTTACAAGCCATAAGATGTTTATATATAGCAGCTTTCATCCGAGGATGTTAGCTGCAATTTGTAGTAAACATTTGAGCTGAGGAGCTTATCGTGTGCCTGCGATAGCCCTCTCGTCTGGAGTGGGAGAAAGGAAATGATGAAGTGCACAGTCCCTGCTTCTTCCTGCCCCAGGGAGGGGAACGGATCTCTTCCTTCTTGTAAAATAAAATTTGAAGGCCTTAAATTGTAAAGAGGCTTTTTTATTGTTGACAAGTAAATGTTAAGACAGAGGAGAATGAAATACGATCTTGGGATCTTTATTTCCTTTCCTCTTAATGGGAATGGAAATGGATCGTTCACTAGTTTGGGTTAAAAGTTGTTTATTAGCTGATGGCAAATAGTTTTCTCTGCTTTCCAAACAGTCGTCTGTCTTGAATGTTTAGTTTTTATTTGGCCATCTTAGCAGAAATACTGCAAGCTAAGGCTTGATTAAAAAGCCCCATGCATTTAACAAGTTGTTTGCATGTTCTTTTTGCCGAGGGTGTGAATTTAATATGCAAAGCAGGGGCTTGTTTACTTACTAATGCTGGTAGTAAAAGGGTGAACAGAAACTTATTAAGTTACTGCTTCTGTATATTAGCGGCCTGAGTAATTTAATTTTTTTTTTGGAGCTTATACAGGTTTGGGAGTTTCAGATGTTAATTCTGTTCTCAGATTACCACTGGAGGTTTGCCATAAAGTTGTATCAAACTTCTTACTCCTGAACAGTTTGCTTTGGTTCTGAGGTCTGGACCAGAGCCAACTAGAAGTGCTCTGAGAGCTTCAGATTTTAACCCGGTGCCCTAGTAACTAGGAAAAGCTTCTGTGTAATTGTTAAAGAGCACTTTAATATTTTTTTTAAGGGTATATTTCTCGTAAACTTAATTCCTTTAAACATCTAAAGGAAAGCAGGTGTACTGAAGTGTAGATGGTGCTATTGGCATGTGCCTGTGACCATAAACACAGCTACATATGAAGCTGAGCTTTCTGATCCAAACAGCTTCGATTTAAAAAGGGGGAAATTGTCACATAGTTGAAATGAGGGAATTATCTGTGGGACTTTGTAATTGTGGTTTATGGCTTGATTAATGAGGTGAAGTATAGAGTCTAGATCTAAATTTTTAGTGTCTCTATTTCAATCTGAATGGGCAATCTGTGCTTTTCAAACAGATGGCTTTTATTGCAGTAATTAAGTGTGATGGAAAAGACTGGAATTTGGAAAGTGATGATTATTCTGAAATGGCGAGCAGAAGGCAAATATGACTGTCACATAACCTGACCTTTGTGCTCACATATCAAAAGATACAGCCCAGTTTTACTGCAGAGAGTTTATCTCTTTGCAGCACGATGTTGAAAACATGGGGCTCAGTTTGTAAAGCTTGGTTGAACTTGGAATCCAAAGCATGTTGTGGGTCCGTGGGCTGCGAACAATAAATGAATGAGTTGGAAGTTGTGTCACTTGTCAAATATACTTGAAACAGTTACAAATGTGTTTTGAAGAGAAATGTTAGACCTTAATTTTAATGTGTATATGAAAAGTTAGATAGTGAGGAAGCTTAAAGTACGAAGTGATGGGACCACTGAATTTTCATCATGCCTCTGAGAAAACGGTTTTAAGCATTCTCCAAAACATAAATCTGTGTTTTCAAGGTCTTTGAACTTGAAGGATGACTTCAGTAGACTTTGTTAAATACAGGCCCAGAATCCCACTGAATACATATATATATATATATATATTTGTAGAGACTTAATTACTGGCATAGAAACATGGTGAGAAAGAGACATTGATGAGTGTCTGAGATAACTATTATTGAATGGTTATTTTGGACAAACTGGTGGAGTGAATGATTGCTGGAGAAGATGTTTAGCAGGGCGTTGAATGGAGTAGTAGTATTAATTTTTAATTCTGTTTTAATTAAATGTGAAAGCTCTTAATCTACAGCAATTATCTACATGGAGCAACATGCCTAAAACTTTAAAGAAAGGACACATCAAGAGGAATAAGTAAAAACAATGAAACCAGTTGTTGCAGTATTTATGAGTCAAAATGTAACAGAGCACCAGGTTCAAAGGCGAAAAGTCATGTATTCTCTACCCTCTCAGGTATAAAAAAGAGTTTGGTTTAGGAGCATTTCTAAGACAAATGTGCCACTGAATAAAATGTTTCAGTGCTGAATTGGTAAAGCACAGCTCTAAAGAATTTAGTCTTAAAGTTCTTGGGGATTTTCCCCCCCTGTTTTTTTTTCATCCCTCTCCTATAACTTCTCAAATTTGAAACACAGATCTAAAGCAAATGCAGAACAAGCTCCAAACCATTAAAATATCAGGCTAACATCCAATTCCTATGAAAAAATTTGAGGGGCGAATCTGGATTTTACTCTGCCATATTATCAAATGTGTCCAATGGTCCGTAGCCCGTTGCTTCAAATTGCGTTCAAGTGAGTCAGTGTGTTTTTCACTGCTGAAAGCCAAACGGCCAGCTGTTAGTCACACTGGAGATCATTGAATCCCAATTATTTAACTGAAGAGAAAAGATTTTTGGTGTAAATAATGTTGCCTTTGCTGGAACACAAATTGAGCAACTTAAATGACTGAATGATTCTGCCCCAAAGAGACCCATGGCAAACCTCGAACACAAATTGAGCAACTTAAATGACTGAAAGATTCTGCCCCAAAGAGACCCATCTGAGGTAGAAACTTTGATAGGCTACTAGAAGCTTCAAGAGCAGCAGAAATTCACAGGAAACTTTAAAATACTCAGTGGTGACACGAATGCAGTGTGCTCAGGGAAGCGTAAGCCATGGTGTGGTGATGGCCACAAAGCATCCATGCAGAGAAGATGGCTTCCTGGCCACTGCAGTTGCTACCAAACAGCTGAATGCTTTTTTGGGAATCTTACCACATTCCGGGCTTCAATAATATTCCTTTCCGTTTTCTATCTGTTAATTTCGTGTTTGAGAAGAACAAAATCTATTGCAAATCAATTACATTTAAGCAATCCAAACCCTTCAGCGAGGACAGTGGCTTGTTTCAGGATCTTTCATTTCAATTTGTGGCTTTGGGTAAATAATTTTTATTTAAAAACCCCATCTATGTGAAAGTATTAAGCACTGGGAGGTTTTTCTGGTTCACTTCAAAGTTGACTTTTTTTATCTAGCAGCTTTTCTGTTCCCTTCCTTGTATAGAGATACATTTTAGTTGTGTATCCAAACAAAGCTATTCTGTCTTGCTGAATGAGTGAATAATGTTCTGGAAGGACATTTGATTTCTCCAACAGCACAACCCACATCTGTTGGTCTCATTGTTGCGGTTTCACGCTGTTCCTGATGATTCACGGCAAAAAGCTTTTTGTTTTGATTCTTAATCAGTGGCAAATGCTAATTGCAGAGATGTTCAGGTTATATTTTCAACTGCTTCTGTTTGTGTAACAGCTTAAGAATAAGGAAGTTTCTGAATCCATCTCTTCAAAAACCTTTTGAGAAACCCGTAAGATGCTTTCATAACCAACAGCTGGTAATAGTATATTCTTTAGACTTGTCTTGTGCATGTCATATAAAAAAGATGTAGTGTTTTGCATTACGTGTGTGGCTAAAGATGAGTGATTTGCAGTGGTTTATGGTCTGTGGTGCGAAGCACAGTGCTGGGTTTATTCAGCTGTGTATCCTCTAGCTATGCAATATTCATTTTCTATGCTTGGTATGTCTTTTAACGGAATGATGGATGTCCCTTCCCTGTGTGGGATGTGTCAGTGTTTGCTAAACATGGTCTGGGCCTCTTCATTAACTGGAGATAAACTAGTGGAGGTATTTCACCCTGCGGGAAATATCAGTGGTAGCCCAGGGTGCTGGAATGAGTTACACAGTGTTCTGTGGGGTTTCTTCTGCGTGTTTTATGGGCTTGAGAAGGCTTGAGAATTTCTGAAATGATGAAACTTGTTCTTTCAGCACACAGTTTCAATGTCCTAGTCTGTTCAGTGTCCCAGGACTTTATTATTATTTATTTTAACTTGTGGTTTGTAGATTTGACTATTTCCTAATACAGTTGGAGAACAGGAACACTTTGGCTCATAAATGAAAATAAGTCTCCCAAAACTGGTGGTAATAAGTTGGAGGGGTTTTTGTGTGTCTTTCCAAATGTACAGATAAGAGCCTGAATTAAAGGCAGAAGATGTTTCAATTCACACTTCTGCAGTGAACTAAAAGCTTGAAATGCCCATCATTGCTCTCCCTGGCCTTTCTGCTCAGTGCTCCTCTGGGAAGTGGGAGGTTGGCGTGGTGCTGGACCAGTCTCCAACCAGATTTGAGTTGGAATCATCAGAAGAATTTAGCTGCCAGACCAGGAGCTGTGTCGAGAGATTTTTTTGCTAATATACTCCTACTTGCTGGTGGGATGTATTCATCAGTTTGTAAAAGGGGGAGTAGTGAACCTGTGTGTTGATGTGACTCAAGTGAACTCCCCTGCAGGCAACAGAAATGAAGTGGCATCTTTGAAATACATTTCCTAATAACGTGTGACTTACAACCACAGCGCCTCTGTTTTGATCTTCTTGCTTACCTGGTCTCCACATCCCAGGAAGATCGCTCCTTAAGCTCGCTCTCTATCATCTCTCTGGTGGTTGCTAGCTCCTTCTGTACCAGGATACTGGGAACAGGCAATTCCTCTTGGCTTCTCATTCTTGAGAAGTGCCCTGGCTCCTGGAGCCGCAGTCCCCATTCCAGCAGGGCGATGCCACCGCGACTTCCCGCTCCTCTCTGGGTCTTGGCTTTCAAACTGGGCAGGTGCTTGGCAGTTGCTACTGCTGTTAGAAATGACATAAAACATGTAACAAGTCAATTCATAGATAAAAATATTTTTAATTAATAGCACTGCTGTGCAATTATCCTTCAAAATGTGTTGGTTTTAAATCTCTTTACCTTATAAAGTTTAAAGCTGGTTTAACTCTACTAATATTGGCAAATGCAATACAGAAGTAAAAAAGATTTGCTAATATTGCTATGAAAGTTTTCGAATACTGTCTGCTTAATCTATGAATGTAAATGCTGGCGTGCAAGAAGCCAGGAAATTAGAGAAGTGAAGCTCTTTGTAGTAGAGATAAAGACCTTGTTCCACTGTGTGGTTTTGCGTCTAAGTTACAGTTGGTATCCTACAAAAAGGAATCAGTACTATTGTGTTGTGTAATAAAAGCATTCAGAGTCCCCCTGGGAGAAATTGGTGATAGTTGTGTACAAATGAGTTACTTTGAGACTAAAACCTGGAGACAGACAGGTTGGGCAGTGGTGTGCTGGTCTCTGGGCGAGAGATTGCCCTCATCTGTAACTGGGAGAACATTTCCTGGGGCAGCACATCCACAGCTCCTTTTGAAGAGCAGCGTCTTGTGATTATAATGTAGGGATTTCAAGTTTCTGGTTGTTTTCATAAAATGGGCTCCAATTCTGTGTGCCTCAGGTGGCATCTTACATGTGACACGTGCCATTTGAACGGTTTAGTGTGGTGCACATTTTAGAAGCAGCAGAAATGCAGCGTCTCTTCTCTTTGCCTGTGGCTACGGGGGAGCTGGCTCAGCTGACAACTGGTACCTTCCAATAACTTCTGCTGGGTAATTTAACATCTGTTCTTTATTCCAGACCGAGTCTTACAGGCTCCTTTCCTTCTGGAAAAAAGGAGATGGGCAAGGCTGCCTTTTCCACCTCTGCTTTTTTATGCCAGAGGGTTTTAAACCTATTTTTTGTTTACAAAAATGGAGGTGACTGCCAGTGACTGCTTTAGGGACCTCTTCATAACAACTGGAAGCAGCACTTTGTGATGCTCCACTAGAGGAGCTGCAGGAAATCCATTTTATTAACTTGCTTAATAAACATTTTTTCAGGCAAAGAGAGGAGATCTCCTGCGTGGAGGGTGTCTCCCCAGAGCTGTGCTTGCAGCTGAGACAGATTCTCATTTGCTGCATATGTGCCCTGCTATGCTATACCTTCTCTTTGAGAAAAGTAATCAATACACTCTCTTACTGAACTCTCTTACTGAGCTTTCAAACTTTTCTTTCCCTCTTAAATACAACAATGACAACGGCAGCAAATCTCACTGGTAAGCATTTGTCATGTTTATCAATACAAACACTGATACGTAGATTAACTTTTTGGTTCTGGCTGTTGATGCCACCCTAATAATGAATCTTACACTTAAAGACCATCTTCAGCACTGCCATCCCTGTTCCTCTCACCAAGATGTGCTGAAATCTTCAGCAGTAATTAGGGTGCTCTTCTCTATCCATTCGTTTTTCCACATCAATGTGGTTTTCTCACCCCTTTGTTTTGCTTATGCTCTGAAAATAAAGCATGTTTCTCCTTTTCAAGGTACAAGTCTCATTAGACTTGAGGACGTGTTTCAGAGGTAGTTTCCCTGCTTTTTAAACTTAATTTGGAGGACTCTATGAATTGAATGTTCAATTCAGGATGTTAACTATGACAGAGCAAAGAAAACATGAGAAAAAGACATTTACCAGTGAAATTGGGTTGCTTGGCTGCACAGTGTGAATGAACACTGAATGCACACTTTAAAAATAACATTTAATAAAATAAAAGCCTCTCTTTCTTTTAATGTTTATAATGATGCAATTTGTGGATGCAGTACTGAAGCACAGTGTTCAAAGCCATTGACCCTGGTGTGGTGGTGGATATTTTCAGGGGTCAGCTGCCGCCACACAACTGCTTCTGATTAGTTTTACCTCATCTAATTGGAAGCAACACACCCGTTTTGCCCAAAACGTTCATGCTAACTAGAGTTGAGCTTATTTTTAGAGTTTAATTGCTGCCCAGGACATGTGAGGTTAGCAGTGAAAAGGTAATGTTACAAAGTGCTGAAGGCTGTTTGCAAAGACTACAAAATGCACAATAAAGATGTGAGTGAAGTTCTATATGTGTGCGTGGATACACATATAAGCATATAAACATATTACAATACCTACTTCCCTTAAAAACTGTGGCTGTGGCTCAACCTGGGCCTGGTAGGGGAAGGAATAAATGGAAGAACCTGCGTTGTGCTGGGCACTACTGCATGGGTCTGCTGGGCAGAGGGGGCTGCTGGCAGTGGGAAAGGCTGGAAGACAAGAGATAAACCACGTCTTGCACCATCTGCTGCTTTTATATGAGGGGGACACGTGTATCTGATATAAGCCCTGCCTGTGAGTCAGAGATGATAAGGAAGGAATAAATGACAGAGGCAGTAAAGGCAGGGAATGGAGAAAGAGAACAGCATTTACTCTGCAACATATGTATGGGAGAACAGGCAAAAACCTAGTTCTACTTTCTTGTACTGAAGATAAAATTCTTTAAGCATGTATGTTGTCATAATAATGAATAAAACAGGCCATTTATCAATATGAAGGGAGCCTGAGACATCTGCTCTGAATGCACCAAGCCTAAGGAATATGAAAGATCTTTGTAACTTTGTATGAACAAGTTGTTCTCCATATGTCTTCATAAAGTACTAATGACAGAAACCTTTTTTTTTTTTTTTAAGGTGAGCTTCTTTGAAATCTGTCTGTGTGTTCACTGTACACCTGCAAGCTGCTCTAAGATCTGTGTGCCTCTTCCCCACAGGTATAGATTATAAGACTACAACGATTCTCCTGGATGGCCGCCGAATCAAGCTGCAGCTCTGGTAAGAACGTGCTCCGCCTTTCCCCATCATTTATATTTCAGTGACACAAAAATGCAACTCTTCAGGGCAGGAGTTCTCCCCTATGCTTCAGAAATACTTAATCAACTGAGGAAGAGAGAGCCAGGCAGCTTGTTCTTGGCATAACTCGTGCTTTCTCTTTACCTCCGTTTTGCATCCATTTCATGTAAAATAAAGGATGTTACAGTTTCTCTATGAGAGAGACAGATAACAAATGCAGAAGAAAGGCACAAAAGATTACAAGTGCCTTCAAGATATATTTGAAGTGCCTTCAAAGTTTATAACATGTAATGGTAATGAGAACTATGAAAATAACTTAGAAAGAATACGCTAATTGTAATAGTGACATCCCTTTGCTCAATTTATTAGTAGTAGTGGTTGACTAAATAACCACAGTATTACAAAAAAAAAAAAAGAAAGAAAAAAAGAGAGGTGTTACTGCTCATATAATTTAATCTGCAACCTGATGTGATTTCATCTTTACAAAAACATGTTGAGAATAAATAAAGTTATTCTACAACAAGAGTTTTCCCTGTAGGGACAAATATTTGGTCGGTCCCGGTGCGTTTGTTAAAGCTGTTTGGAGATGGCCACCTTCTGGTGCGTCTGGAAACACTCGGCAAGTGATACCACTTGAAAAACGCAGCAGCTTTACTGCCTCTCAAATCCATTGTTTTCCTCTTTCCCTGAAGGCATGGGGAGAAGAGGGAGAAGTGAGGTCAGTTCGAGGCATGAAGGGAGAGGGAGTGTGATTTTTTTGAGGAGCCATAATCTAGATAAATCAGAGAGATGGGTTCTAGGAACAAGCGCTGTTAGAGTGGAGAGGTGGAGGTGAAAATGAATCATTTCCTCCTAGAGACAATCCTGGGCTGTTTCCATCTTTAATTTCTGTGAGGTTGTTTGGTTTGTGTTTTTTTTTTTAATTACTGGAGTCAAATGCCTGTGTGTCAAAGCTAAGGGATTTTTAATTTATTCGTCACTAGTTGTTTGTGCCTTTGTTTTTCATTTGTGTTTCAAATGATTAATGCAATGATGGATAATAGTACTTTGCCATATGGTAACTTCATTACTTGATATTTTATTCACCTACTTTCTTTTTCTTCTTCTGTCTTCCACTTTATATAGCTTAGCAAAAATACCACATAAAGCTTATCTGAGAAGTAGCCAGGAAGGAGATGTTTTAATTCTTTTCGTGAAGGGCAAAGATGTTCTTTGGATTCTTTAAAATAACAGATTGGAAAAGTTTCTACAGTTGACCATATAGGGAAATATGTGCCTTGCATTTGAAAATTACAGATCTACCTCAAAAAGTCTTTATGGAATTTTGCTTCTTATAATCTTTTTCACTATAAATTTGATTTTGCTTCCAAACGCTATATGTAGTAATTTATTTATAATAGGGGGGTTTTTTGTGCATGCTTTTCTAAAAGTCCATGCTGCCTGTGACTCTGCAGGGATGCCTTTATCATACCAGACTCATGAGGAATTATTGCTGCTGTAATCAAGAATTTACTGGGTTTCCATTAGTTTCCTTGGTGATGGCTAGTGTTTCCTCCCCCCCCCTTTTTTTTTTTTTTTTTGCTGTGAAAAGAGAATCTTTCTTCAAGCTGAACTAAAAGCAAAGTCTAGTGGCGTAGGTACGCTTGAGTAACAGCCTTTGTTTTCCAAGGGCAGTAACAGGAGTAAAGTTTGAAGTTCTTGTCCTCTTACCCCGAGAAATCTGAGCAATGTAGAGGAAAGGGCAGGACGCCAGCGGGGAGACTGCGGAGAGGGAGAAGAGCTCGTGCGTTCGTGGCGGCTGCTGCGTGACTAACGGCACCAGAGCTGATAGCGATCGGTGCAGATGAGATCATCTGGCTGAGCTCCTAATGTAGGAGGCCACCTACCTGTTTTAAATGTATATCACTTGTTTCGTTTAGGGATACATCCGGGCAAGGGAGATTCTGCACCATATTTCGGTCTTACTCGAGAGGGGCTCAGGTAAGCAAAGCGCAACTTTCTCAGCGAAGAGTGATGGCTGTTGGATGGATGAAAGCAGAGGGAGCAAACCATCGTGTGGCTTCTAGAGCTCACGTGTGGATCACATGTGGATTCAGGAACAGTCTGGAGAGAACGTGAAATAACAAGGGGCAGGGGAAATCCATGAGACTGAAGTTGAATTGGGGTAAAATACAGTGACGTGCATTCTTATGCCTTCCTGTTGGTTACCTCAGGCACTTCAGTGTGTTACCTGACTTAGATCCCAGGAAAGCTATGCTAAAACTACTTTTTAAAACTGTGTGCACCTGAGAGAAACTGATAACATAAAACTGTCAAGAGTAATGTGAAATAGTCTAAAATGTGGTGAAATGCAATGCCTTGTAAGGAAATGACCTTAAAAAAAAAAAGGCACACTAAGAGTCAGTTCCATCCACTACGTTCCAGAAGTGCACAGAGCATTGCCTCTTCAAGCTACCCAAAATATTTATTTGCTCTGACTTGTGATGTGTGTGTGATCAACCAAACTTCTCCACTATAACAAGAAATATTTACCAATACGTTAGATCTGAAACTCAGTCAGGGTTTCTGCCCTTAGCTGAGCTGTAATCTACATGGAGAGGTGGGGCTTGGTTTCACAAGGTGCTGAGGTTCTGCTCCACTGAGGAGTTGCTCGACATCTTACAAGATTATTTCAGAATTGGAGAATTTACTGAGAGCATTCTTTGTGTTATGCTTCTGTTAAATGTGGAATATCTTATTTATTTTTAACACAGGGAGTGATACTGGTGTATGATATTACAAATCGTTGGTCGTTTGATGGAATCGATCGATGGATAAAAGAAATAGATGAGGTAAGGTACAATCCCAGAGTGTCACTAGTCTGTAACAGATGACTAAGACCAACTGCTTATGATATTTTCTACTGTTTTTCCTGGCATTTGCAGGCAGTGCTTACTACAGAGATATCCGAGATGCCAAGTTTACCATTTTCTTTCTATGTTTATAATTCTAGAAAGTTGGAAACGTATCAGCTGCAGTCTCTGATTTCTGTAAAGGTGTTGATGGAAAGCATATGGAGGGCAAGGATTTCATATTGTAGTCCCACTCTTGCTATAGATTTTCCC